GCTTATGAAAACATGCCCCCAAGCCTCCGCTTTCTTATGGCGAAAGCCGGAGCTCTCTAGCTAGCTGGCTTCTATCAAAAGTTATTAAAAAAACCACGGAGTCCATTCTATTTTGGTACAGACAGTAGTTAAAATTAAAAGAAAAAGAAAATTATACCAGAGCAAAATGGATGACGACAAAGAAATCGATGTGCTTTTTCACAATAGACTAAACAAAAAAAAGCTTGCTTGTTCTAAGGAAATAGACGGAAAGTGTAGAATAATCTCATTGAAATGAGTTTGTACGGGATGGTTTTGCTCTTTTATAAAAATAACCGTGAAATCAGAAAACTCATTCAAGGTAATTCATTCAAATTGTCTTTTAATTCATTTTTTTGATCTAGGCATGTCGAAAAACTGCTTCATTCGCGTAAAAGATTTTTGTATCAAACTATTGTCTCCGTCAAATCCAAATCTTTACCTCTTCTAAGGACTAAAAACAATGGAATATTCGAATTTGGCACGTTCGATAACCTAGAAAACAGTATTTTTATCCCACAAAACGCATAAGTGCGAAAACGCGTTTTCCTTTGTGTAGTTCTAAGTTTTAGTCTTTCAAAACCCGCTCAAAACCTCCTCTAAAACCTTGAAAAACAGTTTTACGTGGGTTTCGCGATATGCTCTTTCATATTCACGGATCAAAATGTTTTTTATTGCAAATGGTTTTTCGACCTAAAAACCCAGTATTTCAAAAACCGGGTCTTTAAACTAAAATTGGGCCTAAACCAATGTAATATTCGGAATCAGGACATTCGATTACCTATTGTCTACTAAGTTTTGGGCCACAAGCTTCTGGATAGTTGGGAGCCTTCCTTCTTGAGTCGAACACAGTAGTTTTTCATTAAATTCCGAAATTATTTTTCCAGCTAAGTTTTTAGCCTTAGCGGCATTAAAGATCGAGGATCAAAAACGAGAAAATTCTTTTGTCCAGTTTGACCTTTAAAGCCGTGAGAGACTATAGATTATGAGTCCAATTTGAATTCGATCTCATTTCAAATAAAATATACCACTTGGTTTCCAAAATTGGACAAAAGACTTCGACAAAGAACCCAAATCATTTTACGTATATGGAAAACGGCGTGTAAAACTGGACTCTGTCAAAAATAAAATTTGGAGTCCCGACAAACAACGATAGGCACGAAATAAGAGCTCAATTAGCATGGTGGTAGGAGCAATTCTCGCAGAACTTTCTTCACTCTGTTAGATGAAGTGTATAGCATGGGATGATTTAATGTATTATGTACAACAAACGTTGATAACAATATGTTCAGCATCATTAACAACCACCACCACCACTACTAATGAATGTTCATATCCATTATTGTATAATTGTCGAAATACGTCAAAATGTATATCAAAATATTGTGTCAGTGATGGTATAAATGATTGTTATTATGAAGATGATGAAAAGTTTTATATCAGGTAAATGATAATTATTATTTTGTAATAATATATGTTGTGTAAATAATAAATCACGTCCATTTGTACATGTTGATTCAATTATTGATGGATATAATCTGGCATAATACCCATTATTACATGAAAATGACCATTTTCGTCCATTACATATATGTTCTGCGCAATAAAGTAATGGTCGTGCAAAAGAAAGAGCTGTTTTAATTGAATCTGATCCATCTGTACATACTGGTTGTCTACTATATTCAAATAGACTTTTATCTACACATTGACCATTTTGACAACGATATTCTCTTTCAGGATAACATTCATTTATTTCTAATTGTTCACAATTTAATTAGTCTTCACCATTAGTACAATCTAAATTACCATCACATATTTCACGCCAATCAAGACACATAGTTGGATTTTGATTTTGATAACAAGTTGTTAAATATTGATAACATGTACCATTAGTAATATTTAATATATCTAATGGTTTATATCGTTCTTTTTCACTCATTCTATTTTAACAATATCCGTAAAGGATTGATTAGTATCAAATTTATATTGATAATATGTACCAAACCATGGTGATGTACAGTTATATAAAAACGAATTATTGCCATTCAATATTGGATTTTCTAAATATTGTTGATATTTTTCAATTATATCAAATGGTATCGACCATTGAAATAAATTATTAATTGTTATATTTAAGTGATGTTAACGTTCAAATGTAACTGATACACCAGTATCAATAATAAATGGTTTATCTAAAGTTGTTATTGAACGAATACAGCACGATACAATTGATTTTCTATCTATTATGTACAAACAGTCATGATCACTAGTTTTATTATTTATTAATGTCGCTATTTCATACAGATTAAATAATGATTCTACAACACAAAATTTCAAAAACATAAACAAACATACTTTATGTTGATAATGATTCAACATTATGATGTACATCCTCTTTTTCTCTGATTTAAATAAAAAAGAATGACAAATACATAAGACTTTTATCGTTATAATTATCTATATATATTCTTCATCTAGATACAAAATATGATTTACGGTTTAAAATTTTTTTGATAGAACGAACATATAGTAACAAACCTGAGAAGTTTGCATGCATAAAATGTTTTTTCTCTTTGTGTTTATGAATAGATCAATACAAATATATATATTTATTCTTCGTGTTATCGGAGAGCTTTAATAGACTTTTTTATCATGCGCCGTGCTATTAATATATTAAAAAATTTTTGCAGGTATTTACATATGAAAGGTATTACACAGAATGTTAACAAAGTATAATATGATTGTATTTTTCCTCATAACAGAAATTTCAACTTATAGCGCGTAGTTGACATCATAGATGATCAAAGTAGAAGGTCCCTGTATATATATTATGATATATACCTGAAAAGTAGAGGACAATACTTCAACACCAATAATGTAAGAGAGAAGATCAATCTCATCTATACTCAAACACTATAGTGTCTAGAAGAAAAGAAGAACAATATTACCAACTGTTTCGTTTATATTTTCTGTTAAAAAAGGTTGAAAAGATCTAAATTTTGAGCTGTATAAACAAACATCTCTACAGAATGATTATACAATTTGTTGCTGATGCTGACAAGTTTTAAACGTTGGACTATCTCGCTGTTATTCCATTCCTTTTTCTTTCATTCCTGTTATTTGTGTTTAACGGTTACGGAAATACCGTGTAAGATCACTCTCCAACTATATAATGCTTATCGCCGTAGAAAGTGAGTTATCCGGATTGCAAAAACCTGGACAGATGATGAAGTGTTATGTGCCATTTCTGTCTGGCAGCAATATTATGATAACCTAATGTCCGGTAACAGATGAAATGCACCAGTAATAAAAGAAACGATTATTACTTTAAACGAGCTTTGATAACTGATGTTAAATACAAAATTAGTTGTTTAATATTATACCTCGAAAGAGAAAACAACAACAAGGAAGTACAGGTGCGAGTTCTTGCAAATGAAAATATTTCGATGCGATCGAAAAAATAATTGTTAAAATTAAAGCGATTCACACGGTCCATTGACTGTAAGTTCAACCACAATATTGCAAGAGCAGCTAGCTAATTTCATATGAAATTTCATGCTTGGGATCATATCAGATCCATAAAATTTCGCTTACGTTATCCGTAACTTCGATATGTTGCTGATTGTCATATTTCAAGTGTTCTAATAAAAAACCAATTTATGAAGTAATTGAATTCATCGAAAAAGAGAGAATAATTATTCCCGCCAATATTCTGGCTGAACTTACAGTCAATGGACCGTCTGAATCGATTTGATTCACGTTATGTTTCATTGGGTTAGACACTAAAGATAGTGTCAAACTTGCTGACGATTTAGTCCTTCCCAATTTGACTAATCGCCATATCTATTTTCGTCTAGTCAACTACTATCGTATATTCCATCGTCTATGAGCTCTAAACCGCAATGAGCTCATTACCCAACCACCTGTTAATATTAGGAGATCTGAGTAGGCCTGTGACAGTTCATAGTTTCTTGTACTGCAGTTTCTCGATAACGGGAACTATTCTTCGGTTGCCGTTCAATAAACGGGAACGGTTCAGCAGTTCGCGTTTCTAGGAACTAGGAACGGTTCACCAGTTCTGGTTTCGCGAACGGGAACTACAGTTCTTTTTGAACTGGAAACTGCTCAGTGTCCTTCACTGATCACTAATATCGAAATAATAAAATTTGAATTTGAATTATTTTTGTGTAAAACTTAACTAACGAGTAAGCAGGGCTGGCCCAATGTAGCCAATATTGGCGAGGGGGCGAAAGTTTTTTCAGACCAGACATAATCTTC